TTATAGCCAATAGAAAGTTGGTCAGTCACATTTAAGATGCTTTGTGATTAATCAAAATCTTACAATTTCTATTGATTTTGTTAATAGTTACTCAATTTTAATCAATTGTGATCCTAAGAGTATGTCAAAAAGGTATAAATAAGATCTTGATAAATAATAAAAATGATATTTGATAGTGACCTATATTATATCCGGTGTCTCGTTGGAGCATTTGTTAACACAGTTTTATCTATAATCAGCTTGTCAAGTGTCTAGGGTTGAACATATTTAATTATAAATCAAATCTTCTGCTATTACTTTCTTGCTGATAATGAAAAAAATTCACGAAGCAAGTTGTCATTAATGAAGGAAGAAAAAAAATAGAAATAGCAAGGTAACATCTTCAGTGTGTTTTGCATAGCTTAAATTCACAACAAAGAACCTATGCCTATTGTTGTAAAATAATAGGATTAAACTGGTCTGCCAAGGAATTTTACCCACCTTCTTGACAGATACTCACATGGTTGTGAGACCGCATGGGACCCGAGGAGAATTTAAAATGCAAAAAAAGGACCCACCAAACCCAAATGTGAGAGTAGGTCAGGGAGGATGTCAACAACACGGTGCAAAATAATAACCATGTAAAAGGACGTGAATTTTATATGCAATAAGTGAACAATGATTGAAAGAAAAATGATGAAAAAGGAAATAAAAGTAATGGTATTGTCAACCAATTTGGAAAAAACATCACAAGCACGTTCTTGAAAAAGAAATTCAAAACTCGTACTTTAATATCAGCAACTTGTGCTTGAAGAAATTTTATGGAATGTAGGATGGGTGGCAACATCAACAACTCGAATGACATAAGAAAGCTCGGTCGATCGTGAATAGAAAGTTTAAAAGTTTTTGAAAAAATGTTTATCCAATTTTATTTCGACTTTATGCTATGCATCAGTAGTCTTTGCCGAAAAATGAGAAAAGTTATTATCACTTCTTGCTTTTGTATGAAATCAAACTAAGCCTAAAACAAATATTAATCATTGTTCACACTTTTGTGTACTTACAAGACATAATACAAAATTAATATCATTCAAAGTGATTCCGTCCAGTGCGTATTTTCTTTATACAATGCACAATAAATAAATTTGACGTCAGTCTAATTTATCATTAAAGTACATTTATTTAAAATGCTTGTCTATAATTTATGTTTTTTCTTAATTAAAAAAAATATTATTTATTCTAGTGTAATAAAGGACACAATTTTTTTTTATTTGGTTGTCTAAACCATAAAATCACTCAAATAAATAGTTTTAGTTGTTTAAAATATATTGCCCTCAATATCCTAATTCTCAATTTATAAAATATTTTTAAAAATAATATTAACATTTTAAAGTTCCAAAATACTGTAATTTAATTATTGGTGTTAAATGGACCAAATTGAGCGGATCGGCTCGCCCATAGTCTGACTTGGTTTGGCTCACTGTGCGAGTTGGCTTGCCAATTTTTATTTTTTGCTTAAAATTGTATTTTTACTCACCTATAACAAGTTCGTTGTTGATGAGCTTGAGAGTGACTTGCACGAAAAATTCACTACTTGCGATGCGCCCGTCAATTTTTTGATCGAAAGTTGGTCATACAATTGAGATATTTGTGTTTTTACAAAATTTTGTTGATTGTGTTAATGGTTGATTGTTCAAATTTTAAGTTTGACCATGCCAATAGTCTTTTTAGCATTTATTTGAGAGAATTTTTTTTGAAGTGAAAAATGATATTTTTTTGAAGCGTGCAGTTTGAAAAGTTAAAAAATATATAAATTAAGAGCTTCATAAAATACGTGGTTGAATTTGATTTTGAAAAAATTCTTATTATAAAAAATCGCCATAACAAGCTTTCCATATTTATTATAAAGTGCAAATGTGGTTCGAATATTTCACTTTGACCGTGCAACCCTTAATATTTAGAAAATAAGCAGCTACAGGTAGGGCTGGGCAAATCTCCCGAATCGAACCGAACTGAACCCGACGGTTCTTGTGAAATTAAATACCCGAACGGGTATCTGAATTGAGAACCGACGGGTATGGTTCGATTTTAGATCAAAAATCGAAGAACCGAATCTTTCTAATTTTTTTTATATTGAGTAAATCAAATTATTTTAATTTTAATTTTTTCTAAACAAATTAACAAATTAACAATTTCTAAATCCAAATTTTTGGCCCAATAATTTGTTTAATTTCTAATTTTTTAATTTTCGGCCAAATTACCCATTTTATTGTTTCATTTCTTAGCCCAATAAGATCCAATCTACTAAATAACCCTAAATACCTACACTAAAGTACATAACGTTGTCTCGACTCTCATACTCACTCTCGTAACCTCGCTAATATTTCAAAATCTATATAATCGTCGGCCGACACTGTGACCTCCGATCGAAACTGTGACCTCCACGGATCGAAACTTTAACCATAGTGATCATTTGAACAAGGTAGTTTACTAGTATCTAACATTTCAAAACCATTGAATGTATCATTAGTTGTATTTATATAATATTGTTATAAATGTTAAAAAATATAATTATAGTACAGAACCGAACGGTTCCATAATTATATTTGGACCCGACGGTTCCATTTACTAGATACCCAAAAATTTTGGTTCGGTTCGGTTCGGTTCTCTTTAGAACCGAACCGAACTGACCCGCGCCCACCCCTAGTAAGAACAGGAAAGAAAATACAGATAAGAAGAGAATCGGCGCATTGCATAACATTTATTAGACAGATAAGAAGATAAGAAGAGAAATGAAAAATATGAAGCATTTTGAAAAATTTAGACACATCAATTTTGCATTTTACTTTCCAAAATCTCAATGATTTTGAACATACTTAAACACCCACCATTTATACTCAAGCACTAGCATTAGTTATTTCTTATGTTCCTACTGATATTAAACAAGATTGACAATTCAAGAAAATGGGGGAAAGTTGCAGATTTTTTACTTCACTGCTATGGAATTAATTTCCATGGAAGTTTGATTTTTCTCTTTCTTTTTTCGAGTATATGTATAACTAGAGGAATTATTTTCCTCTCTTATCGATATATATATTATTTTTTGCTTTGACATTAAATAAATTAACCTCCCAATCTGGACGAATTTTTCTACCAGTTTATCAAATTTAAGAGGGAGGTGAAGCCTAATGTTATTATAAAACTCTTTCCGTCCAACCAACTCCAGAGAAAAATTAATGTACTACGGTCTCGATTGCAAGAAATTTACCATCAGTCTTATTAACATGTTTTGGTACGCATGTCTCATATAACAGTGCATTGGACGAGTACTATTTAGCTAACTCATATCGTGTCTTGTTTAGTCCTGTGCACTCACTGGCGAAGGAAAGGGGCTATGATCCCCCAACTTTTGGGAAATTTTGTTTTTGTTTTTGTTTTTTCCTTTTATTTTTCGAAAAAAAAAACACAATTTTCTCTCGCTCTCTCACGACTCTCTCTCTCTCTCACCTCTATTACCAAAACTCTAACCCTATTAATTCTTCTGAAAAATGTCTAAAATTGATAGCAAAGCAAGTAATCAACTCTCTCTAAGATATCTAAGTATTAGTTTGGTATTTAACCCCACTACATAACATTTATTAGGCAGATAAGAAGAGAATCGGCGTCGGCAAAAAATTTAGGGCTTACTGTCGAATGGTTGGAGGTCTCACCTTTGATGGGCTTTCGACTTTCGGAGTTCACTGCTTCGAATCGATGGCGACGTTGGGGGCTGAAGTGCTGAACGAAGAGACGAGAGTTGGTCTTTGAAGTTTGGAGTCTTTGGACGACCGAACCGAATGGAGTTGGGACTTGGGGGCGAACTGAGCGTGGGGTAAAATGTAAATGACAATGTTAATAGGGTTGGGTTTTTTAGTGAACTATGTAGTTTTACTAGTTTATACTTTATTTAGGGTTGGATAATGGAATTGGATACTTGGATTTAGTGGGTTAGGTAGAGATTTAGAGTTGGGCTAAAAATGGAAGATTAAAATGGGCTTAAATGCTTGATGTTGGGCTAAAAAAAAAAATTAAAAATGAAATAAATAATTGGGCCAAAAAAATTATATTTAGAAAAAATTAAAATAATTTGATTTATTCAATATAAAAAATAAGAAATAAGAAAAATTCGGTTCTTATTCGGTTCTTCTATTATTGGTCTACAACCGAGAACCGAACCGTACCCGTCGGTTCTCGATTCGGATACCCGTTCGGGTATTTAATTTAAGAAGAACCATCGGGTTTGGTTCGGTTCGGTTCGGGTCCGGTTCGGTTCGAGAGTTTTGTCCAGCCCTAGTCCGCACCATGGCAAAACTCTCCACATACTGCGGAGAAAAAAAAACTCTCTGCACAATGCGTAGAGAGTTGAACAATCTAGATTTTAATCTAAACCAAACATGGCTATATATTTTTAATTTAAAATTATTATTAAATAATAAATAGGCACTCATATTTAAAAACAATTAACAAAAAATATTAATAATAAGTATTAAACTAAATTTTTACTATATAAATAAAAAATTTTAAAGAATTTAATCAACGTATCGATGACGTGTTGTGTCAGTACTTTTTTGAAAAATCACTTGTCGATGTGTTCGTGTCGGTGCATAATAGCTCGAATGTAAAGAGTCTTCTATGTAGTGATTTCAGAATTGTAGTCCAAGGCAATGTTTATATGTCTTTTGTAGAACTAATTTTTCAGAAATTATTTCTCAAGTAGGAATCTATTTCTACTAATTTAATCTTCTTCTGAAGTTTTGTCTTTATGCTGATGTTTCATCGTGGACTTCATCTGTGTGACACTTCTTTTCACCTTGGATTCATTCTAGATAATAAAATATTACATATGAAAGTTATGTGTTTGAAATCTTGGTAAATTGAAAACTGTAGTTCTAAGTCTTGTTTTTGCTGAATGATTTTACCTGATCAGCGTAATGTATATATTTTTCATCATGATACTTGGACATGTTTGATGTATTTAATCTTTTGCTGATAATATCCCCATCATTGTAGGTCCTCTTTCTTCAGTGTGGAAAGAATGGGTTAAGTGGTGTATTGAGTTTGGTATTGAGCCCAATTCAATAATTGCAGTCCCATATGACTGGAGATTGTCACCATCAAAACTTGAAGAGCGTGACCTTTATTTTCATAAACTAAAGTTCGAACTATCCTTCCTATTTCTTGAATTCGGCTTAACTGATTTGCATTTTATGTAGCACTTGATCTTATCATTGTATCCTTGTATCTTGCAACCGATGAAGAAAAAAGTCCACATATCCAGATCATGGCATTCTCCAAAAAATAATTTGCATCCTAGAGAAATTTATAAGATTCGGGCGTGGATTTTGGTTTAGATTTTTTCTTTTCTTTTACTTTTATTTGCGTGTTTGTACAGGTTCCTATTTCATTTTATGTCTGCTTCCATATGTCTATGCAATAAACTAATTAGCACATATAAGTGACAAGCGATCATGATTGTTTTATATGAATGTGAAAAATTTGTACAAGGAACCATTGATTTTTCCAGACATGCAAAAATGAAAATATCTGAAGTAATGTTGACAGCGTTAGCAACCGTAACAAATTTTTTGAATGTTCTTTAATTTTTTGTGTAAGATCTACTCCTGCTTTATTGCCCATTTCTTTCTAGACAAAGGTTGGCACTTCTATCAGAAGTTTGCTTTATTTTTGTTGCTGCAGGATTACTTTTGAAACTGCTCTTAAGCTGCGTGGTGGCCCTTCAATTGTTTTCGCTCACTCATTGGGTAACAATGTCTTCAGATACTTTCTGGAGTGGCTGAAATTAGAAATTGCCCCCAAAATGTACATCAAGTGGTTAGATGAACATATTCATGCCTACTTTGCTGTTGGTATGCTTGCCACTCTAACTTTGTTTTATCTTTAAAGCTGTGCTGGTTAGAAAGCCGTGCAATTATATGTTGTTCTTCCCTTGCTTTGGCTCCAGGAGCTCCTCTTCTTGGTGCAACTGAGACAGTCAAAGCAACACTATCTGGATTCACATCCGGGCTTCCTGTCTCCGAGGTTTAATTTTATATCTTATCTAGTTGTTATGATATACTTTTGCTTATAATGAGTATATCCCTCATAGAAAAAGATGCCTGATTTATTATTATGATCAACTCATTTAACACGTATTTAGCTCAAATGTATTGGTAATGTAGTTTGACTTGGCTATAATCATGGCCTATTTCTAACAAGTTCCTCAAGATTATAAAGGGCATAAGATACTGAGTTATCAAACCTATTCAGTTTTCAACTTTCTTCTCAAAAAGTTAAAATAATATTTCTCACTTCTTAGTATTACTATTTTCTTGCGTGAGTTTCGCTATTGTGAATAGTTTAAGCAAGATCCTAGGAATTATTTTGAATGCACACCTTTCCACTGTAAGAATCAGTTCTGAAAAATTTCACAATTAGACTACTGTGGCACTATAGGCTAGGTTGGGGGGGGGTCTACATTTTGGCCTCTTTCCTTTTTGACACCTGCATTAACACATGTTCATCATATAATTTGGCAAGTTATCAGGGAACAGCTCGATTGATGTTCAATTCATTTGGCTCTTCAGTATGGATGTTGCCATTTTCAAAACATTGTAGAACAGATAATGTATACTGGAAGCATTTCTCTGATGGTAACAGAAAAGGTCATCATGCATATCATTGTGATGAGTATGAGTTTCAAACAAACTACTCTGGATGGCCAACAAATATTATTAATATTGAAATTCCTTCATCCCGAGGTTTGCCTTGTAGTCTTATGTGCTGATGTGCACTATTTCTGTTTGTGATGGTACACTTTGTTGCGATACACTTTACACTTAACCATGCTAATCAGAAATTTTTACAATTCTGGCAGGAGATGAAGCTTACCCTTCGTTTATAGACGTAGCACAGGCGAACATGTCTGGAATGGACTGTGGATTCCCAACTCAGTTATCCTTTTCTGCCCGTGAAGTGTCAGATGGAACCTTCTTCAAAACTATAGCTGAATATGATCCTGATAGTCAAAGGCTCTTGTACCAACTAGAAGAGTGAGTTGTCAGTTATAACCAAGGCTGTGTATCTGTTCTTTCACTTGACCATATTTCTGTACTAAGTTAATAGATTCCTATCTCCCAGCTGCAAGGGAATGTTATCTGATCCTGTTACTTTTTCCTCTTCAAAACTCTGATCATCTTTTTTTGTAATGTGTAGATCCGACACATGATATCACGTCTTTGACCAGTTTATTATTGTCAAACTGTCTTCAACAACCTGTATTTACAACTTTTACTTCCATGTATCTTCATCTTTTTATCTAATTACGTGATAAGTGCCACACCTGGTTCTAATTCCAGTGTATTTCAGGTCATACCATGGTGATCCAGTTCTAAATCCTCTAACACCTTGGGAAAGACCACCTCTTAAGAACATTTTTTGTATATATGGGCTAGATTCAAAAACTGAGGTAAATCTTGTTTCTTGATTTTCCTGCATATTTCTAGAAGTGTATTCTAAAACTGATACTTCTAAATGTGGAATGATTTTATTCTTATTCTTTATGCTGACGAGAGTAATGATATCTTTCGTGCGAGGGAACAGGTTGGCTACTATTTTGCACCAAGTGGGAAGCCTTATCCTGATAACTGGATCATAACTGACGTCATTTATGAGTTTGAAGGATCTTTATATTCCAGGTGACAGTCAACACACTTAAACTGCATAATGTGATGAATTATACTGGAAAGAATTCACATGGTTGCTTTGCCCATCTTGTTGTACTTCAAAAAATAATTGAAACTCTTAAATTGTTGTTCATCAAATTTGTGCTATTTCTCCGCCTGTGGTGGCCTTGCTGGTTTAATGAGAATGTTAATCAAGGGTAAATTAAACTTCTTGGTAATCCCGACTCAACAAAGTTTTTTAATTTATTGCTGAGACTCACCCTGCTGTCATTTTGTCGTAATATATATAGGTGTTGAAATTCATGACTGCCAGTCTGCTGGATAATTAGGTTTTTGTCTTACTTTGTGACTGAAGATCCCAGAAACCCTTTCTTTATTGAGCCTCGGATTTCTAAGCAACAATCCACTTTTCCTCACTTCATAATATGGTCCTGGTACTTCTTTCTAAATGTTTTTCTACAGTCCACGTTCAAAATATTTGTGGAACTATGAAGAGAGCTGTGTGTAAACTGATCGGCTTAACCAAGCATGTTGTTAGTAAAGCACTTCTATGAAAGTATAAACCAAATGGACAACCTCCTATCTTAAAGTTAATGGAGAAACCATATAGATAACTTAAGAATGATATTGTTAATAATGCCATGCAGCTTTATGATTAGGCATGTGCCTTGAGCGCACCTCTGAGTGGGGTGTTCCTAGGGGCTGTAATACTTAAAGTTTAAGTTTCCCTTCCAATGCTTACACTATAGCTTACTGAGGAACAGCCTAGAGCACAAAACTTACGGCAGTTGAAATGTGCACTCCTGATTCTTACCCTTTCTGGGCCTTTTTTCAACAGCCTTTAAATTTTGGCTGGTTTTCTTCACAGTTAAGAATGATTGAGGGTTTTCAGGTTGTTCCAATTCTAAATACTACCCAACTGTAATATTTAGAGTAAGAAATAGGAAATGGAGATTAGAGGAGTGATTTTCACCGCATGCATGCCAGCCAGCCTTCTACCTCTGCAATTGAAGTGCAACCACCCTTCCCACCAGTGACATTGAAGCTTTTGAACTTTCAGATGGTGCTTATTTCTCTTATAGCGCTACTTGCTGTTGGATTCTGAATTTTATTTTTTTTTCCTTTTTAGTTTCAGTTGCCAGTTAGTTGTCAACTTTGTATATCATTTTTTCAGAAATTTTTTCATTTTCTTGTTTGATCAAATTCAATCTTGCCGTATAACAATAAACAGAACAGAGTGGCAAAACAAGAGTCAGGTAGCTCATAGCTGAACCCAAATTTATTGGGATTAAAGCCTAGTTTATTGTTGTATTTTCTTCTAGTTGCTGCTTTTGCTCTGTTAATTGTTTCCTCGGGGCCAGCCTTTTTCCTTTTTGTTGGTGGCTGCTGGGGTTAATTATCATTCACCCTGAACTTATGTGTTAGAATCATCTTGTTGAATACTTCAATCTGCATATGTATATTTAAATGTTTCATACGTGTTAATATTGGTTCTGCTTTCTATTGTGGTTTTATATTTTGTATTTCTGGTACTTTAGCCCACATTCTTAATCATTTTGAACTGTTTTATTCATGATATTGAGCCTGTAGCCTGAAAGTGCCTCGAGACCTAAACCTCATTTTATGGCGGCAAAACACTTTGATTTGGCCTTCTTAAATTTTGGTGATGGGATGCTTCTCATATCCCTTACGAAACTCATTGGATAGTTAACATGTCCAAAGAGATGGGATAAACTTCCACTAGGTAGAATGCTAATGATACTTTCAGCATTGCATGACTTTTGATAGGATAAAGGATTTATTCTAATCCACTGATTGGCTAGTATTTTCTGTGAAGATTATGCTTTCCAAAAATACAGCCTTTGTATGGGCTCCATTAAAATCAAATTTTGGGGAAAAATGTGTTTTAGAATATTGATTTTTGAAGAATGTGTGATTAAAAAAGAAGATAGAGTTTTTGATTTACGTGTAATTTTACTTTATTGAAGAATGTGTGCTTGAAAAGAAGAGAGAGAAAAATGCATTTTTAATAAAATGGAGCTCAAACAGGGGCACGATTTTGATTGAGTTACCTAATGATGTAAGAGCTGTTAGGTAAACTCTCGGTGGAAGTTGATGTCACTCTATCCAATGTTGAACTCTATTAACCTTTCTAACAATAATAATAAATAGGAGGTGTATATGTTAAACAGTATATTGTGAAGGAAGCTAAATATTGAAGGTTGGAATCTCTCTCTTGCTCTTTCTTTCACGACTGTTGTATTTTTTATTGTTGTAAAGTTGAAGGATTGAAATGATGAGCTTCAGGGGTTTGGGGCATTTCTGTATTCCTTCTCAGAATATGGTCACCTCTTCTTCAACTTCCCTTTGGAAGCCCCTCCTCTCATACTAAATAAGAAAAGGTGCATTTCAAGTTGTGGAGGTGTTGTGCAAAAGTGAAAAGTAAAATCGAAAAGAAGAAGAACAACAAGAATGACACATAGGAATTTACGTGGTTCGACAATGTGCCTACGTCCATTGTACGGTGTGAAAAAATCCTCTAACTTGGAATAGGGTTACAATAGGTTGTTTATATATAGCCCTAATCCTGAAATTACCGTTACAATACTGTACCATCGTACTGCTGGGAACTCCGCCCTCGCTTCATCAACTAGCCTCCATATATAAAAAAATATGGGCCACCTAATAAACAGGTACAATTGTGCACATAGTATGAGAATCCCATGTTTGATAAGATGACTTTGCCGTTGTCGTATACTCTTAGATTGGATTGTTTTGAGAGATACACTCATTTGTGATGTGCGTCCACTGGGGAAACTTCAGAGACCTTTAATTCTTAATTTAGTTAATTATTTTATATCCAGGTCTGGGAATCTGGTTGAAGGAAACCCTGGTGCTGCAAGTGGGGATGGGACGGTATGATAATCATATTGATGCATGTGGATCTCATAGAGTATAATATTGTATGTAATCGTGTGATTCTTTAGTTTCACTGAAGGATGGCTTTTTTGTTTTGTAGGTACCATACCATTCTCTCTCCTGGTGCAAGAATTGGCTAGGACCAAAAGTGAACCTAACAAGGGCTCCTCAGGTATTACAAACTAAATGAAATTACAATAACTATATTATATCTATAGATCCCTGTAATGTTTGGTATATTGAGTTCATTGAAGCTTTCATATATTTGCCTCTGTAATTGTCTTCCTCGTACATTTTCCCATTTTTCCTTTCATTTTCCATGGTTGAGGAAGATGCGGTTTCACTTTCACATAATTCTCTGTTGTTCTGACATACATACGCAAGGGATGCCTATCCTTGTACAGGTCTCACACACAACAAAATTTATGGATCTAACATTTCTCCAGTTCAGCTAATTTCTTTTTCTCACTCAGAGAATAAACATAATTTTAGGACAGAGATTATTTATTTTTGTTTGGTTGTATTTGTTAGTAAATGCATTCTTCTTGCCTTTATTGTGATCCCTAAGTTTCAGTATCTTTTCCCTTCTGATATCATGGTTCCTTTTTTCTGCTTTATGTATTTTACATGCTCATCTGCTGATTAATGTAGCATCTATAGATTCTATACTAAAGATTTCTATAAATATATGATGAAACTGTGTACAGCTTATGGAACAAAAAATATTTTCTTAAATTACTTATTGACAAATTGCAGTCTGAACACGATGGATCAGATGTCCAAGTGCATTTAAATGTCGAACATGAGAATGAAATGGATATCATTCCCAACATGACAAGGTCAGCTAGAGTGAAGTATATAACCTATTATGAAGACTCTGAAAGTCTTCCAGGAAAGAGGACGGCAGTTTGGGAGCTTGATAAAGGTATTTAGATTGTCTTAAGTATCATATAGTGGTAGATTGATAAATTTGCTACGAAGAATTTCTTGGGTAATAATTGGTTGGAGAGTTAGCACTAGAAAATTATATGAACATCCAAGTTCTTATCCAAGCATGAGGAGGCATGACGATCATCCGATTTTCGACTTTCTACATAAACAATTTTCTCATTCACGATCAACATCTTCTAGAGCTTTGACAATATGACTACTTAAAAATGAATGGCGTTTCGCAGGATGTTAGAATCTTGCTCTTAGCATCTGGAGGAGCTAATTCCATGAAAACTAGCTTCTGAATTCTGATATTGCTTTTTTCCACTGGTCATATGGTTTATGTGGTTCTTGTGTCTAATTTAACTTAATAATGAATTAATTGTATTGTCAGCATTTGATTTAAAAGACCTTGTTTAAGGTGGAAATTAAAAATTATGAGAAACTGAATTAAGGTTGATTAACTATCCGGCAATTTTTTTTCTTCTTTGAGTAAAAAGACTAACAATCTGATTGTAGGGAAAATGCTGGGGATTTGGGGAGAACAATTTACAACACACCTTGGTCTTGATTTAGTGCAGTTATGCATGGTGGCTATGGGTGGTTCATCATTTCATTACAAATGTTTTTGGAAGATCACAGTAGTGATCGCCAACCTATTGTTCCAATAGCTAGGTGGTTCCCAACCTTTAAACATGAGCAAGTCCTCAACTGTTAATAATAGTTATACGGTGAGTCCTCAATGATACAAAATGTTCAAACCTTCATTAAATTTCTACGTAATGGGAACAAGCTCCACTAAATTTTTGGATATCAACCATAGTTGGAACCAAAAAAAAAAAAAAAAAAAAAAAAAAAAAAAAAAGCGTGCAGAAAAGAGCTTTCCGAATTGAGGTTATGGACGCGATTTTGATAATTGTGACCAAAATTATGGTCAAATTACCAAAAATACGTACTAAAAAAATAAACAAAAAAGAAAAAAAAAAAAAAAAAAAAAAAAAAAAAAAAAAAAAAAAAAAAAACACAAACTTCATATAGTTGGACTTGTCGTCGGGGTCACCTAACGATTGAGTGGAGATTTGAACATTTTCTGCTACGGAATAGTGATTTGGCAAGTACAGAAGGTTGGGGACCACCTCGCTTATAAAACGTTGGGGACCATCTCATTTTCAATAGGTTGGTGTCCAATAGTGTAATTTTCCTTTAGTTGTTTAGTGGCAAGGCAGTTAGCTTTTACCTGGTATGATTTCTTGTTTGATTAGTACAAGTGTTGTGGTGAATAATAAAACCGTGAAATGATGATACACAACTCTATTTAATGTTAACTAATCATATATTACATTTCTGGCACCTCATTTTTCATCTTAGTTTGCACTGCGTTTTGGGTGATCTTGCTAGAACAGACTCGCCCCTTCTTGTCAAATTAATACTTTTCATCTTGATCGTTTTATTACATTCTTTGCTAATTACACTGTATCGTGTGCAGCCAACCACAGAAATATTGTGAGATCTCCAGTTTTAATGCGGGAACTGTGGCTCGAGATGTGGCATGATATTCATCCTGATAAAAAATTTAAATTTGTGACGAAAGGTAGGTGTCACTGATCACATCTCCATACAAATTTATGTCATGTTTTTATGTTTACGATGAAGCAGGTAAGCGTGGACCTCTGAGGGATGAGGACTGCTATTGGGATTATGGAAAAGCTCGGTGTGCATGGCCTGAGCATTGCGAATACAGGTTTTGTAAACCATCCTTTTCATTATGAATGCAGGTTTTTGTAAATCACCTTTTTTATTTAAGAAAAATGTATTCAGTTAAAAGGGTTATAAATAGTTCTGTAGGATGTAAGGAATTTGCTTCATCCTGTATATTATTATGCAGATATGTTTTTGGAGATGTCCACTTAGGGCAGAGCTGCAGACTAAAGAATTCAACAGCTGATCTCTTGTCGCATTATGTATAAACTACAAGTCATCCTCCTCTCTCACAAGGTGAGTTTAAAGAACACTGCATGACGAAAGAAAGTTAAGCATAACTTAAGAAACTTCTCTTAAAAGTGTACTACTACCGGGGAAATGACACTTAATTAAATCTTTATTTCATATAAACTTGGTAACTGCTGTTCTTAGGGAACAGATTCTAATAAAATTTAAGATTCTAATAAAATTTAAAATGAATAAACTCGAATGTCAAATGACTAAATTAGAAGAAAGATAATGATGTGGTTAAAATCTTCTTCTTCTTCATTTTTATTTTTTTGGTGGGGGGGGGGGGGGGGGGGTAGGGGCTGTTAAGTAGGGAAGAGGAAAAGTATACTTTTCTGTATTCCTTTTGTATTATTTTGTTTAATTAAAAATAGTGGCGTCATCCTTCACCCATTATCATTTTCAATTATGTGACTTACTCAGACAAAGTTATATCTGCAGAAACACTGGAATACACTTTTGATGCTGACTGCCTCCACAGTTGGTGAGCACATAGGGTGTTGCTTTTGCCCAAAGTTCCAGAGCGATGACATGTTCCAGTATATGTTGTTTTAGGCAGAATTGAAATTATATTGTAAATTTGAGAAAGTAGCACTTCTGGCAGCGTTTATGAGTACTTGGAAGTCCTTTGACATCCAAGGGATAGAAGAATTTTGTAGGATTATAGTATCAGAACAATCTAATGCCACATTTAAGTTCTATTTACATGGATCACACGATAGTTCTGAAAAGGCATGGAAGTATATTGCATATTTAAGGTGTCACTCTCTTCGATGTTTACTGTTAAGTTTGATCACATATTCTTCAGCTTTCCTGGTAGTTACAACTTTCAACTGGGATGTGCATCATTTGGTAGATTTCCAATTTCTTCCCTATTCGTTTGCTCAATATTAATGTTGTTGTATTCCAAGGAGTTGAATAGAAGATGTGCACAAGCACGTTTAACGGTCTTCCCCTAAATGATGTGTGCGACGAGACAATTCTGGACATGATTAAAAATGGAAGAAAAAGCCAATCTGGTAAACTACCAATAGCCTCTTCTTAAAGATACCTGTTTTCGATTTTTGAAAATGGAATTTCGGGCCATTTCTGTTTTTTCTTGAATTCTCCTATTTTGGTTTTGTTTATATATTAATAAACAATTTAATTATACTTTCATCTCTCAATCATTTACGCCATCTACTATGTTCTTGTAAATCCCAATTTGGAAAATCGGTTATCAAATCTCGAAACTCAATCTCGATTCCTAATACAGGGCCACACACTTACTACAAAAGCCATGATGGGCGAAAATATGATCTTGATTATTTTGTAAGGTCCTAGTTATCAATTTTCCAAAATTGCTCCAAACTAAGTCACATATCATTTATAAATAAATATTCTGTCACAAAATTAATGAAAGTCGCACTCCAGTTACCCTATGAAACCATTAGAACAAAGGCCACCCATACGTTTAATAGCCACAAACGAATTATCCTAGGATCACATTTATAGCAATATAAAGACAAGAAGGATAATACAAAATATTATGATCCATAACTAATTGTCACTACTATTAATCACAAGGTCACGCTCTAATTCAAAAATTTTATGGTCACGAGATCACGTGTTATTCAATTTGATTTTTCTGTCAAAGTCGATACCCTGCTGCTTGCAAATTGGTTATTCTCACAGTTATTCCTAGACAAATATTTGTCAACTCAAAACAATAAAATGAATCGAATTGAATTGAACTGAATAAAAAGTATTGTTATACTCGATTTAATGAGCCAACTATGATTTGAAATGTCAATCATCTTCTTGTTTTACACCGTAAACTACCCAGTAAAGAAGGAAGAACTCTGCCAACAAATGTGTTGGACTGAATCCTTCAATTTTAGTAATACCTTAAAGTATTACCAGTCCACACCTAACCTGCTCCCATGATAGTTCATCATGAACATAGTCTGTAAACAATTTGCTCCATCTTTTGACCAAAACTCACAAGAGAAAAGGAAAAGAAATACAAATTATTGTGTCTTTCTTTTAAATTTGTTGACTCTAATGTCAAGTCGCTTTCCATCATAAATTAGGATAAGCCAACTAATGAAATGTTTGATATATTAATTTGTATAACGCATAATGAGATTTCACTTAGAAAGTCAGCGAGATTTTAATAAGTTCTCGATATTCAATCAAAATAAAAGTGTTAATTGGTGAGTCTTGGTAATCTTTTGAAATTAATGAGCTTTGATTGCGTATTCGTTTTGTTTTGTACTTCTCGATGCATCAATTTATCTTACGTTCGAGAATTAATAAACATACGACTTTTTTCCTACTTAATTATGTTATATGTACCACTAATATAATGTTATACCCAGACAATATGTTTGAAAATGGGCAATAATTTTCACGCCTGCCCATATTGATTAGGAGGCAAAGATCAAAATATTACTCATGAGTATGTAGAATATTAAGTCACACTCATAGATTACAATGCTAGTAAAAAGTTATGCTATGAAATCTACTTAAGATGATTATGATTCCCATTTCCATTTGTGTGTGATGAGAGAGAGTCTAATAGAAGGAGAGAGAAAGCTCAAAGAAAAACTACATAAAATAGACTAATATTTTTTGATCGTTGAAATTATGCGTAAGTCAACAACTTAATCAACTCGACCATTAGAACCGGTTGGTTGAGCTCTTCTCGACCATCTCAACCTAAACAGCAAGCTAGTCAAGCTTTGTTTGGTTTGAACCCGTGCTTGTTATTCTTTCTTGCAAAATTTCAATAGCTCAACCCTTGAGTCCAGCTGGTCTAACTATTCTTTCGATGGAGTTGATAGAGAAAAGCCAATTTCATTTTCTCCCATACCTATCCAGTAAAATTTCCTATTGTTTTATTGTTAGGCAGCCTTGCATAATACTTGATTTGTATGTGAATGAGACCACATAATGTAAATACTTGATAAGCACTTGAAAATGTTCAATTTTAAGATAAAGGAGGGGGGAGTATCATTATCTTTTGTCCATTGTATTCATCACCTCTCCCTCTTATATATATTATGCCTTCAATTATGAACTCTTATTTTAAACTACAACCACCACAAATTAAATTAGTTTTAATAATATTGGAATAGCAATTTTAAACTTATTTCATTGTAATATTTATTAAAAGATTAGAAGCAACCACAACAACCATATTAATATGCGTTCACCTCTTTCCCTTTTAATACGTTCTAAAAGATCATATCGCTGTTATCGGCGTAAGCATTGGTAAGTTTCCGTAAAACACGTCTCAACTGTGTAAGCCATGTTTCCTTAATGCATGTTTGGGAGGGAGGATTGAATGGAAGTAAAGAAAATCTTTTGTTTTAATGTCGAGTTATTTTCATATTATCAATTCCACGACGGTCGACTTTCATCTTAATTGCTTTGGATACTAATATGACCAAACAATAAAAATGATCTAAACTTTATTGTCGATAACAAGAACTCATCACTCTGTAATCTACATGAATCTGTCAAAAGATCTACAACTCCATCTTTCCTTTTAAAATAAAACAACTTGACTCCAATCAATCATATCCAGTGAAACTTTATGTATAAGAAGAGCATATTTTATTATAGGCATGAAGAAAAAATATATTTAAAATATAAGCATCAACTTTTGTATACTCAACACAATAGATAATGGCTAATCTACTCGTTTTCTTTTTTTTATGGAATAACTTAGGATAAAGTCACTTTCATAAATATTTGAAAACTAATTTTTAAAAGAGCTTTTGAAGGAAATACATTGTCCTCTAAAAGTTCTTCTTATAACTGGAAGAATTTTTTTTATAAAATTAATCTGGGTCCAAAAGCAAATTTTAGTTCTGAAAAATCATTCTATACGGACCCTTAAACGCATTTTGCTAAACTTTAAAAGAAATAAATTGCTTTTAAGTAACTTTTTTAAAACACTTCTAAATAACTTATTTTTAAGTGAAAAAACATATTGATTTTGAAATTAATTATTATTTTATTGTTAGAATAAAAACCTTCTCATTTTTTAACTTTTACTCTTAAAATAGTTATTTATTTTGAAACTTATTTACTTATAAGCCAACCTTTTAAGCTTAGCTAAACATGCTCTAAAAGTTTACAAACTATAGAAATAAATTTTTACCTTCAATTGATGTGAATGGAAATCATCAAAGCCAACAACATATGGAACCCTAGAAGAATAATTCTATTAATATTATTTTTAACTCGCACAAATTAATGATTAGGACCTTTAACAATTTTAATTACCTAGGTCAAACGATGTCGTAACATCAGACAGATTGAATCTTTTTGAGATACAACGTTACAAATGATCCTTACAATTGATGATTGAACATGTCATTTTGTCAATCTCTCCATTTTTTTTTTCATTTTTTCTTTTACCTTATTTTGTTTGTTAGTTCTTCACTGCTACGGTGCTACCTAATAGTGAATTTAAGGTTATATCCTTCTTTGCTTTTTAGACAAAAGAGAGAGTCGAAAATATGATAGAATGATTATGAATTAATAACATTAATAATTACTTCTTCTTTTTTATCAATATGCATCGTTAGATAATAAATTAAAGACAATGGTGACTTAACTCATCATTCATTCTTGCATATATCCAAAAAAGTGAGAACCAACATTAATTAAAATAATATATTGTGGTTTTAAATGATTTACTTGCATTAGATATTTGAGGAGAAATAAAATGAATAAATCGAAATAGAGGAAAATGATTAAGATGAGTCAACTTCAATTTTATAGGAAACAATGCATTGTGTGTTATTTTGTAGTCGTATTACATTACATGCTACATATAAAGAAGATGTTCAAGATTCGTCGTAACTTGTGTGTATATTTTTGGATAAGCTTACAATATTTATTTATTTATTTTAAGTTTTAGCCCTTGTTTGGTGTGACTTAAGAATTTGATAAAAATTAAAGTTAAAAACAACAATTAATTTTAACCACACATTTTATATGAACCACACTTTTATCAACTTTTCAACCCAATATTTTATCGACTTTTATCAAAATCTATTAAAAATCTGATTTTCAGTCGCACTAAAGGGGCTTCATGTGTATGTTAGGGATCATGCCAAACTCTCCATCCTTGTAACAATAGTAGCTTAAAAACTCTTACCTGGCTTGGTTATAGTTCAATAAAAATCTTAAAAGTTTACACCACAACAAATATTCTTTTGTCAAAATTAAAAATAAGTTACATGTTCTAAATCTTATTATCAAAATAAGTGATTTTTTTTATTCAATTATGCGTAAGAAAGTAATATTTGGATAGAGACTGGCTGGACCAACCATCATTCTTGAATATAATGACAATACTCAATCACTGTCGGTGGGCTGATAATCAAAATCAAAATGAAAAAATCCATAAAAGTTAGAGGGGAGACAATAACAGTCGAGGTGTTGACAACTTTTAGCAGTAAAAATGATTGTTAAAAAAAGTGTTTTTGGAGAATAAGTTTTATGGTTTTACAAAGGAAGATGATGGGAAGATAAGAAGCATTTTCTACACACAGAAATCATATTGTTTGCCATATAAGTGGACTAACCTCATAAAGCCCCTCTCATTTTCACCACACACCCACACATACATATAGAATAATACATAGAACCAGGAGGGAAGGCCGCCACTCCTCAGGATTAGTCAGACGAAACTTGGATACCTGAGTTATAAAAAAAAAAGAGTAAAAAAGAATAATACATAGTTATATTTTTTTTTGCCCTTTCAGAAAGCATGGTTTAGCTTTTGATTTTTATGGTTAAAGGATATTAAACAGGATGATTGACAAAGTTTAAGCCTTGACTTAAAAAGTTTGATTAAATTTCGTTTTACAAAACAAATTTACAGTGTCCTTAATGGAATGATAAGACTGAAAAGTTGATCCATTAAACCAACAAATGGGTAGAAGAGTAGCATCCAAGGAACCTTGACAAATGCAATAGTGTAAGTGTGTACATATACTACATTTTTATTCACTTATTAAGGTGAATAAATATTTTATTTATTTATTTTTAATACTGGACGGATAGAATATTTTTTTCCACTTAAAAACTAGGGAAATTTCACCCGCCTCACATGGAGGAAGGTCCACGAATATTTTATTATATGTCCCTTTATATGAGGAGGGTGTAATGTTGTGTATACACCATTATCCTAAAAACTAAAAGGGCTTCCCTCTGCCCCGGCATGTGCCACAAAGGGAAGAACTACTTCCACCATGTAAGCAAACCCATATCATAAATTGTTTTTTTTTAGCTCATTTGCACAAAGGAGAAACTCTACTAGCCAATTTGGTTTCTTGGTCATATTCAAACTCTATCAAATTACATAAAAAAATAAAGAAATACTTCTATGTTCTATCAATAACGTAATGAAAAATCATTTTTATCTCGAGTTTCAGAGTATAACAAGAAAGGTATCACAACTATGTCATTTACTTTCATCCACGATCCCACATCATTGACACTAGACATCAAGCATCAAGACTTTGGTGCCATATGTCGAAAAGACGATTTTCTCCATTCCTATTGGACCTTTTGTTGGAAAATGGATCCTTTTTTTTTTTTTTGCATAATTTTGAGCAGGGTCCATTTTTTGACTCTTTTGTTATCCAACTAGTTGCATCGCTCCACATACAGTGTGAGGGATTCAGTTCCAAGATCACAACCTCATTCATCACACGTATGATCTCTCGATGCCAAATAATATATTTCTATGTGTATTTAGTCTTCTCGTTTATGACAATTGATTGTACCGAGATGGTAGTAAGGATGATGTTAATGTGGCATTAAATAATAAGGAAAATTAAATAAGTCATTTAATTTTATCTTTCATTCAATCTATCATCTAACGTCATTTAAATTGAAATTGTATTTTCCAATGGGACTGCATTGCATTATTTGAAATTTTAGCCCTCCATAGCATTTAAAAACAAGCTATGCATGGAAATCTATAAAGAATCAAAGATGCATGCTCTAAACATGAAAACATTTGATATCAATGTTAGGAACTTTATGTACATCACATAATTAATACTTAAATATAAACTATAAAGTGAAGGACTTTTGACTTAGAGATTTAGTTGTTTCAAGTTCTAACATCTTCTGTAGTGTACACAATGTATATGTATATATTGTAAAATGGTCCAATTTTTTTATTCTATTAGGATTTTTTTTTTTTTTTTTTGGGGGGACTATTCAAACCCTTTGCATGCATGTCTAAAGTTCCACTTCAAATTAAATTTTTAGAAGTTTTAAGTCATTCTACCAACTTTATATGTAAAGTTATATAGGGCCTGTTTGGGCCCCATTTTTTCACCCAAAAAATTGAATTTTTAATCGTTATTTTACTATTTCAGTC